TATGACACTATTGTGTGGTTAATAACCGTACGATTAACACATCATTACTTAATGGCAGTCATTCGCAGCAATTGGTTTCTATAAGAGTGAGTGAGTGAGAGAGAGAGAGAGACTAACTTTATTTGCAATAACTTTTACCGATCCGGACAATACTCTCGTATATATGATATACACATGAATGGATAGTATAGTAGTGTTGGACACATATATTCTGGACGTCTCTAAGCAACTGAATAATCCAATACTCAATAAGGATTGTGGGCCAGGATTTTGTCCAACAATCGCTGTGTCACTCCATTACAACCTCTAATGGGATCCAAACAAAGAGTATAACCGAAATAAAAATGAAGGGATTTATAGCTACGAAGAAATGAAACGCTCAGGAAATGAAAGCTAAAGATAAGTCGAGAGTCATATTATTATGAAAACCTAGTGTTGAGAGTGCGGACAATACAGAGCGGGCACAGGGAGTCCGTGCCTAACCATATCGTCCACACTGTGCTTATATAACCGGTCAGTCATTCACACATACATACAGCCGGTCATCACAATCGACGTTATTATTTATTTGGTAACAATTGCTGCGAATGACTGCCATTAAGTAATGATGTGTTAATCGTACGGTTATTAACCACACAATAGTGTCATAGAGTTATTATATTGTAAGGCATAGCCCACTCTAAACTCACTCTCATTTCATTAATAGTGTAATTGTGTTTAGCATTAATAAACTAATTCAAATTCACTGCACTTCTCTGTTATTAATCAAATGTTTAATTATTGGATGAAAATTTGTTTGTTAACTAAAGACTTTAGTCTAAAGTATAAAGTGTACAGTATTTTGCTTCCCATTCCTCATTCACTTAACTTATGCTTAAAATACAAATCTATTTAATGTCTGAATAATAAAAACACGAATTAAATAAATAGCAAACAGTTATCATTGTATAATTATACAGAATATTCTTTATTTAAAGGGCAAACAAATGTATGTATATTTTATATTTAGTAAATTGTGTTATAAAGGATTCTCGAGTGATGTTTGATATGTTGGCCAATGAATGTGGAGACGAAGTAATACGAGTGATCATAGCCTTCATGAAGACGATAATCGACGTCCAAATTAGCCGAAGCGCACGAATCCACAAAATTCTCGACACATTGTTTTATGAATACGTACTCGTCGTCAGTGCCCTTTATATATCATTATTTGTTATCAAATTAATTATTTAATTAATCTACACAACTGTACCTGTTCAACAATGAGATGAAGTGGCGGTCCTTTATATTTCTTAACCAAAACAGTTGCGTCCCATTCCTCCCACACTTTCTGGTTATCACCCAAATACCCGGACAAACATGTTTGACCCCATTTTGTTACCATTGGATTAGCGGTGGGAGAAAATGCTGACACACTCTTATATAAACCCGGATTCTTGAGGGCACAGATGAGGGCCCCGTGACCTCCCATACTGTGGCCAAACACAGATCGACAGTCTTTAATGACTGGGAAGTTATCGTCAATCACTTTTGGCAACTCTTTCGTGACGTAAGAATACATGCGGTAATTATGTTTCCACTTGTCTTGAGTCGCGTCCACATAAAACCCGGCACCGCTTCCGAAATAATATAAATCGTCTTCGCCCTCAACTACATTACGAGGACTAGTGTCGGGACCGACGACTATAATGCCCTCTTCGGCCGCGTATTTCTGAAATCCCGATTTAATAATAAAGGTTTGTTCACTACATGTGATCCCTGAGAGCCAGAATAGGACCGGAACTTTTACTCCATCGGTCACTTTGGGCGGTATGTAAACCGAGAAATTCATTTTGCACTTCAACTCATGGCTGTCGTGACTCCAGACCTGTTGTTTGCCACCAAAACATACAAAACTCGATACTAAAGTAATTTTTGTAGACATTTCTTTTAGCTGTGAAGTGTTTGACAAAACAATTTCTAAAAATCTGTGAATAAAACGTTTACTAATTCAATGAATACTTTTATTAACTCTTAACTTCGATAACATTTGGTTGAGACAATGCATCGGTAAAGGATTGCATTGAAATGTCAGGAAATTTTTACTTTTACTTTTATTAATATTGTAAAATAATAGCTAAAACTTATTATGCAATCATTATAAACTAAACTTATTATAATTTTCTATAATATATTTGCAAATCATTGGATGATTTCAAAAAAAAGTTAAGTGAATTTACATATAATTTCGTTAAAAATTATTCGTTTTATTTGTTAAATAAAAAATGTTTTACAATCAGTAAACTGTGTTATAGAGTATTCTCGAGTGATGTTTAATATGTTGTGCGAGAAATGTGGAGATGAAGTAAAACGAGTGGTCATAGCCTTCATGAAGACGATAATCGACGGCCACATGAGCTGAAGCGCAGGAATCCACAAAATTCTGTACATATAGTTCATCGGCTAAGTACGGGTCGTCGGCGCCCTGTCGTATAAATTGTTTGCTTTATTATATAAGCAAATATTTTCCTTACAAACTCTATACCTGTTCAACAATGAGATGAAGTGGCGGTCCTTTATATTTCTTAACCAAAACAGTTGCGTCCCATTCCTCCCAAACCTTTTGGTTATCACCCAAATAACCGGATAAACATTTTTGACCCCATTTTCCTACCATTGGGTTAGCGATGGGTGAGAAGACAGACACACTCTTATATAAACCCGGATTCTTGAGGGCACAGATCAGAGACCCGTGACCTCCCATACTGTGGCCAAACACAGATCGACAGTCTTTAATAACTGGGAAGTTATCGTCAATCACTTTCGGTAACTCTTTTGTTATGTAAGAAAACATGCGATAGTTTTGTTTCCACTTGTCTTGAGTCGCGTCCACATAAAAACCAGCGCCGCTTCCGAAGTCGTAGGCGTCGTCTTCGCCCTCAATGTTGACATTACGAGGACTAGTGTCGGGACCGACGACTATAATGCCCTCTTCGGCCGCGTATTTCTGAAATCCTGATTTAATAATAAAGTTTTGTTCAGTACATGTGAGCCCTGAGAGCCAGAATAGGACCGGAACTTTCACTCCATCGGTCACTTTGGGCGGTATATAAACCGAGAAATTCATTTTGCACTTCAGCTCATGGCTGTCGTGACTCCAGACCTGTTGTTTGCCACCAAAACATCCAGAACTCGACACTAAAGTCACTTTTGCCGACATATTTGTAATACGTTTAAAAACAAAACTTAAAATAAGACTTTTTTCTAATTTTCTCAGCATTTTTATTGGTTTTAATTTCAATGCCATTTGCTTTGACAACAATTATCTGGAAATACAAGTTTGACATCGATTTGTTATCAATAAATGACTGTTAAATATGATAAAAATGTTTCCTACAAATTAAAATTAAACAAAACAAAGTTTTCTTGTTATTTATATTTTATTTATTTAATTAAAATTATATTATTCAAATTAAAAATATATTTAATGTTGAATTGACAATTGTGAGCATCTAATTATCAAGGTGTATTATGAATTTTGTATAATAATAACCAATTCAGGCAAATAAACGCATTTGCAAATAATAGCATAACTTTAAATAAAAGTAAACTCAATTATTCTCAAATAGATGTATAAGTTTTGACTCAAACATAAGTTATATTGTATTATATTTGAAGAAATACTTGAAGAGTAACTAAAAATGTTTCCATAGATTTAGTAAAAGAGAGAAAAATCACATTATTTGTGATATGCCGAGTCTATGAGTCGTTTATATGTAATTTTGTTTTATATAATACTCGCGTATAAGTTATATATTGCTATCAAATAAATTTTGAATGAATATTCATTCATGCATTCAGTTGTAAAAATGATGCCAAGAAAAGCGTATCACAAAAATAATATCAAATAATGTTTGACACACAAGAAGTTTTCAAGAATAGGTACGCTTTGAGAGGAAGTTTGCGAGAGAGAGAGAGAGAGAGAGAGAG